AACTTTCTTTTGCTCATTTGTTTTTGAAGTTAAATAAACAGACAGGCAAGTCAGTGCCTTATTACTGATAGAAGTTGTAATATTTTCTTTTCAATGATGTCCAAACAAATTAACTGTTAAAAATTAACTGCAGGGTAGCACAGTAGGAAGTGAAATTTAGCAAGCTGAAGATCAAAAGGAAGTAAGTGCCAGAGCTCTGGCCTAGATGCCAGTAAAAACTGATTGGACTTAGTAAGTTTAATGAAAAAGGGAGTTATACTGTGTGTGAGATGCACCCCCGTTGATTTTTTAAAAAATATGGGAGCACATAGTTCCTGCTGATGTCCATTCACTATGCCCATGAATACATACATATAAATTGAGTGTTTCACTTTTCTTTTTTAAACCAACACTTATCTGCAATTTATAGTCAAGCATGCTAGCTGGAGTTACACACACAAAAATTGCTAGCAACTGCTATTTTTCACTCACCTGAAATGTTCACTCTTACCTTTTTTTCTCCACCGAGAAGAAAAAATGCCTTGAAAATTTTGTTGCAATAACTTCCAGGCTCAACAAAGTTTGGAAGCGGCTTTTAGGAACCCAATAACTCACCCCATATCTCTGTATATTTGTCAGATCTTTCTCCTATATGCTTTCTCCTACATACTTTTTTGAAAAATCCCAGCTGTTAAATGCATTGGTGAATTGTTAGTTACTGGTATTTCGTCAGGTGACTCTTGACTCTTCCCAAGGTATTGACAGTTACCTTCCATTTTATCAAAAGTTCCCAAGAGGTGGTATAATACATTTATCTAAATATACACAACAGCTTTTCTCTGTGCTACAGCTTTCAGACAAGCTGTTCCTTAGTTGGTCTTCTTTAAATGTTACACTGATTTGTTCTTTGGATTCCAAATACATCAAGGAGCAGTGTGTGCAATATTTTGTCTTATGGTGTCTAATAACTTGACCTGTACTATTTCCTATCCTTTTAATTGTTATACAAGTCCCTTCCCTTTCTGTCAGATATCAATTTAAAGAGATGGTGCTGACCATCCTTCTGTAAAATCACTCGTTCTCTGTGTGTTTGTATATGTAGCTGCTAGAGTGTTTCACGGTGATTAATGCAATCCAAAGTTTACGGTGTCAATGCAGCTCAGGTAAAGGCAACCTCCTGCCATCTCTGTCCCAGATCACTCAGATATCTCTTCACTCTCAGAGCCTATTTTATGATTATATCATTAGTATATCTGTTCAGCTGCCTCAATGCTGCATTGTAATCTGTGTTTTCTATCTCCCTGTCACTCCCCAAAAGACTGAAGTGTCATACATGTGATTGGTCAATAAAATAGGCTGAGATTTTCAAGGGAACCTAAGGGAATTAGGTACTTAACTGCCATTATAGAATGTTATGAGAGTTTGGCACTTTAGCTCCCTTTGGAAGTCCCAGCATAAACAAGTGTAAGCACACCTTTTGGGATTCTTGAGCCTTGCTTGATAGATATAATACAGGAACATTAAAACAGTCCAGAGCAGTCACTAGAATCCAGCTGAGTGGTCTCTTGCCAGATACACGTTATACATCAGTGTAAATCAGGCCTGTGTCACAAGACACAGATTAGTTTGATACAGTTCAATCTTCGGAATAGAGCCCATGTCAGGTTACCTGTCATGTTAGCATCCTTTTGACAGACATCATCACTTATCAACATCACCTAAAGTTATGGTCTTGTTCTGGAAAATGTTAAGAGCCTTATTATAGTAATCTGTTGAACTTGGACCTCTCTGGCCTCTCCCTTAACTCCGAACATCAGAACAGTATTAAACAGAGTGAACTCGCATCCAAATTGAAAATTAGGAAAATTTAAGATTACATGACTCATCTAGTCCAGGTGATGAACCTGTAAAGCAGGGGCTTCAGTGACAGGTAGCTGCTGAGGGCCACATTGTATGCTTACACCATAATGGCTTCAATAGTACAACTGATGGCAGAATTCGGCCCTTAGTTGATACTGGTAAAAATTTCAAAGGTGCCTAAGTCCCACTGAAAGTCAATGGCTCCTAAGTAATTTTAGGTGCTTTTGAAAATTTTACCCTACACCTTCCTTTTAAAGTTACAACTCATGACAAAAGTCACTCACTCAAGGCAAATATTTTCTTGTGTGTGCAAATTCATTGTACATTAAAGTACATTATAATCCATTTATTATTATTTGTATTGCAGTAGTGCCTAGGGAACCCAATCATGGATCAGGGCTCCATTAAACAAAAACAGAACAAAAAGATGTTTGATTTCACATTTTCGAAGCAAAGTCAGATAATGTGGATACTTTCTGACTCCTCTATAAAAGCCTGATCCTGCTGTTAAGGGTCACATTAAATTATCAGTCTCCTGTAATGACATCAGGATCAGCCCTTAAACTTTTTTTCCCATTTTGAAACATTTTAAGCCTTTGATTGAACAAAAATCTCTAATGTGCAATACAATTTAAAGGGCAAATTCTTCTCTGCCAGTTAGGGCATATGTGTGAAATTTGTTTTAATTTTTATCCAGGTCAGCTATGTAAATTGCATTACCATACAAATGACAATGACCACAAATTAGTCAGACAGGAAGAAAGTGCAAGTAGAAATCCCCAAGGACTATGTTGAGAGAAAGCATTGGCAGGATGGATCACTAATGAAGGGGAAGGATATAACTGAAAATACTCACGTGAAGACAAAATACTCCTACACGTTCTTACACAAGCATTGACCATCCAAAATCAACAGTATAAAATGGATGTCAAACAAGTTTCATTATTCACGTTATATTTCAATCCTTAATTTTTGTAGCTAGCCTTGCCCCATCAATCCCCCTGTCCCCATATGGTAGCTTTAACACTGCCAAGAGATAACAATTCTATGAAATATATAACTGCACTATCTTGGCTAGCCCTTAAACACCATTTCTTATCCTGATTTCCTTAGGGACAAGTTTTGTGTGCAAGGGCCAAAGGGCCCTCTTGTAGCAGAATCTGTGTGCAAGGGGTTGGGCAGGGTTTGGAGAGCCCACACAGAAATCAATGGGTCTGCACACTTGTGTAATGTAAGCAGAATGTGGTGATTTAGCAAGGATATTGTGCACCAACAGATACAACCTGTTCTCCTTACTCATGTTAATAGTCTCACTGAAGTCAATGGAACTACTTACACGAGTAGGACTACTCATGTGAGCAATCTGAGCAGGACAGAGCCACAGATAAGGCTCAATAAGTTTCCTATTGAAAAGAGTGGCAAAACTCCCATTGACTTTACTGGGAGCAGGCCCATATTGTCTTTCAGTTAATGCATAACATTCCCAACAATATCAATGGGGATGCCACTACAGACTGGGTGCAGCTTTTGGTTCAAACAACTCAAATCACTTGTACTTTTACTTATATGCATCCAAAAAAGAATTTACAAAAGAGAAGTGGCAAGAACAAACACACTTTAATTTTGTACTATCTTATTACAGCCTTTTAGAAAGATGAATTGTGCTCCCTTTTCTATATTTGTTACATTCTTTGTCATGAGAAACAACACATAATCTCAGTGGATGATAAAGTCTGTGTTGTGGCAAAGTAACATGAAAAATAAAGATACTCATATTTATTAGTACTGCACAGAATTCCTAGACTTACCAGCTGTTTTATAACGTATTACCCTAACAACCACTATAAGTTTCTGACACTTTCAAAAGGCAGCTAAGAAACTTGCAGATAATTAATGTCTCACTGGATTTTCCAGTGTATAGAAACTAAAAGCATTGCTAGCACAATGTATAAAGAAAATGGTTTTACTGTGAAACTAATCCTACTATTTAGGAATGTGGAAGGCAATTTTTGTTAGCAGATAAAGCAACCACTTAATATCCTGTAATCAAAAAGGATAAAACAAGATTTCCTGTTACCTTTTAGCCAGCTAGGAAGGATTTACCTTTCACTGTGAAAACAAACCACATAGCTTCAGTAATGGAGGAAGCAAATTAAGTATTAACTAAAGCAAACTTTATTTATTTCCTTGGATCTAGAGTCCAACAGGAGGCCCTGAACCGATGGAGCTAAAATACCAATCACAGCACAGGTACTCAATTGCTTGAATTTTTGGGGGTCCTTATTGTGAAAGGAAGTTTGTTGCATGTCTGTCTCATAGAATAATTCCCCCACAGGTCAGCAGTGATATAGATCTTTTTATTAATTATTACTAGCAGATACAAAATCTACCTTATTCTTGAGTGAAAACTGTGGTAAAACTGGGGATAGGTAAGAAATATTAATCCATCATCATTGGTGTTATTACTACTATATCCTGGACATCCTTGGATGCTACATGCTCTCTCGGAGCCTGATCTTGGAAAGTACTCAACACTCTCAGCCCCCATTGACACATATGGGAGCTAAAACCCTCTCAGGAGGCATTCAGCGCCTTACAGGATCTGTTACATTCATGAAAATGAAAAATGAAAATCAAACACAAAAAAGTCAAACATAAAAAATAAAAGTCACATTTATTTAAATAAAAATATACACACAGTGTACAATGGATATGGCTTACATACAGCAACCAAACAAAAATGGTAGCTCCTGAAGTACAAAGATAGAAGGAGCTGGGGCAGCCTACCTGTGCTTCAGTTTCTCTGAATAAATACACATTGTGGGCTAAAGCCTGTTAGTCTTGCTCGTACAAGTAGTCACACTGACTAAAGAGAGCAGGATTTGGCCATTACAGTTACACAGGAATAGCTACACAAAAGGAAAACAAGTACCACAGTAACCCTATGATTGTACAATTAACTTTCACAAAAATTTGAACGTCAGGCTCCTCTTCATCTAATTTTAAAGCACACAAGGTAAAACTATATGCATGCAAATTGGGAAAAGTACAAACACCACCACCCGGATGCTAATTCTCTCTCATGCTAAGGGAAGGCAATCTGAGCTGCACTGTCGCCCCCCACCCCACCCCCCACTGCATTACCTTGCCCCTGTCCCCATTCTTCACTCCCTGCCCTCACACACTTCTGGTGTTTTGTGTGTGTGCTCTTTGGAATTTGGGTATGTGATTTCACAAACAGGGGTTTTTTAAGGTCCTGATTCTCAAGCTTGTGTGGGTGAATGCAATTTTTCAGTCTTGGATTTTTGGTAATATACTATAGCTTCCTTTTAATTTGCTACATTACTTATTCAGAAGATTGTGTTTGGCGAAAGGGAAAAATAAAGGAAGGTATTTTAGAATTTATGACTGTTTTAGAGCATATGCTGCATTGTCTAGGAACACACAAAGCAAATAACAGTTGATGCATTAATCAGTGGTTCTCAAACGTTTGCATTAGTGACCCCTTTCACACAGAAAGCCTCTGAATGTGTCCTCCCTTCTGAATTAAAAACACTTCTTTATATTTAATGCTATTATAAATGCTGGACGTGAAGCAGGTTTGGGGGTGGAGGCTGACAGCTCATGGCCCCCATGTAATAACTTCGTGACCTCCTGAGTGGTCACAACCCCCTGTTTGAGAATCTCTGTTATATGATTAAAGAAAAACAGAATACTAATCAATACTCTAGGCTACTGAAAAACCATTTCTCTTATATATGAGGAAGCAATTTTGCGATGATTTTTAAAATATTTGCTCTTCCAGATCCATTTGATTTTTCCCTTTTAAACAATAATAAATTATTTAAAGCTTCTTTTTTCTGCAATTGGAAACACCTGCTTGAACGCACAGCTCTTTTTGAAAACCACAAAGTAACAAAAGGCAAGATGCAATACATATCTCATGGCAATGCCAATACAACATGCTCTCTCTTTATGGCAAAAAAGCATAAATATAGAAACTAATGGGTTTAAGTTCACAGCAGAGTCACCTGATGGGAAATAATTCTAAAATTGCCTCAACCAAGTAACTTTTTTATATTGAATTTTTTCAGTGTAATCTTTAACAATTACACCGTATGATGTTAAATACGTTTACCACTTTGAAAGAACTGATCTCAGAATTTCTCAAACCATCTCTTACAACTGAAAATAAAAATCAACTTATTTCCTGAAGTATAATAAGAGTCATACAAATGCCGACAAATGTAAACACATGATGTTCTGCTCTTCTTCGCAGCCAGGCACCTAAAACATCAGTGGTGATTTAGAATATTGCCAGCCCGGCTTTAATTTGCTTAAAATAACAATTTTGGTTTGGATTGATTTGTATGGATTTAAAGAGGGCCCAATATATATATATATATATAATTGTTTCCTGCTTACAATTGAAGCCAAAAATCTGTACATTAAAATTCATAGTGCAAAGAACTTTTACTGATGCTCCTTTTGTTGGCTTCAGCCTGCTCTTTAGACTGCTGGTTCATTATAGTACATGTATTGGTAATGTTTCATCAACATACACAGCATCATATAGACATAATGAGATAATGGAATTAGAAATGTTCTCTACGTTCTAATAATTTCATAAAAGCTAAACTATAAACAATAAATATTAAAAGTATGTTCTTACCAAACTCCCTGAAAGAAGATTGCAGAAGAAAAAAACCTGCCTGAATGACAATACGTCAGTCCTATGCATATATTGAAGAATAGAAGTTTTACGGATATCACTGAGAAAATATTATATTAAGGTTGCATTTAGCTTTTCCCTTTTCTTACAATTTAAACTGGTTTGCTACTTCCATGCTAACCTATGGTACAAAATTACATAAGTAAATAACAGTGCGCTATGCAAACATTCAACGTGGGTAGCACTTTTGCTCAAGTTTCACTGAGTCAAATCCTGTTGATCTTATTCAAGCAAGGACTGTAGTACCAGTGACTTCAGCGGGACTATTCACATGAGTAAGGCAAGCAGAATTTGGCCTTAAATGCCAGCTACACATTAAACATGGCTGTTTTCTATCCCTTGAAAGACTGGCTCTCAAAATAGAAGCTTTCATTCCTTACAAAAGTTTTTACAGTGCAAAGTCTGAACATTGTAGTGACTCTGCCATTAAGATAAGTCAGTTCTCTTCAATAACACATTAGCAAATGGTACAGTTTGCTCATGAAAATCAATTTGCTCAGAATTACTCCTCCAATATGCATTCGGAGCCCTCTGTTAACCCTTCAAGTGGTGTGCAGGGCTTTGGAAAGGCCCTCTGTTCTGGGTTGGTATGTTATAGTTGGTAACAGCAGCAAAGGATTATTTGCATTCATAAAAATCCAGGTTGAAGAATATTTAGTTTTGCATCCATGATTAGCTGACAACTCAGTTTTGGAGACAGATCCTCAGCTTTTGTAAATTGTCATAGGTCCATTGCACTCAATGAGCCTGTAACAATTCACACCAGGTCAGGATCTACCCTGTGGAATCTAAATCAGAGGAAATATTTCAACAGAAAAGGGGTTTTCAGCACTGAAGTAGCAATGTGTATGCTGATATACTTGAAGTTGTGCCAGCATGTTTTCTGTGGGTCTTTGAATCTGTAAATATTTGTTCCAATCAAAAACTTGTCATCCAAAGCTTCTGCTTTGCCTAAAAAAAACAACATTTTTTAAAGACCTAAACACCACTGTGCCCAGTTCTGTTTCACTGTGGACTACTGCGTGGTTTTTAAAAAAAATATTTGGGGAAGCAAACTGGTAACAATTTAAAAATAACAATTGTGGGTGATTTTCAAGGTTAAAAAGTATGTAAAAATGGTGTTTATTACAGCAATTTAAGCCCTTGTTTGCACATGACTCATATAGCTTCACTGTTTAAAATGACATAATTAAACACAATATGATCATGGTGCAGTAGTAATTCAGAGCCCAAATGTTTTTAAAAGGTCACAACATTATGATTTAAAATCTAGAGACAAAGATCTTGAAACATTCCTTTCCCTTTCTATCGAATTTATTATGGATTAAAGTCAGTGGGGTTTTACGTAAATTACTCTAAAACCTATAGAATTTAACAGAGAATGATACCCCGCCATAGAAATTTGCAGATTGGTTTAAAAATACTATAAAAAGTTTATATTTTCTCGGAAGTTCTATAGGATTATTTTACAGAGAAATGCAGGCTCAAGCCCCTAATGTATATATTCAGTAACTTTTTTTTTAAACTGTAAACATGACCAAAAGAATGTTGAGATCACAGCAAATGTGGCAGCTAGACTGACAGGATAGATTGTAACATTCCTAGGAAGACTTTGGTTCAATAAATACGAATTAAGACTTTTTATGAGTCCGTTCTATAATGGTTAAAAATCCATATACAAATACAGATTTATAAATTAGAATGCAATGGCTAACTCCATTAGTAAATTATATAGTATGGAAAGGAATGCAAGACCTTCAGTTCACATCTGTCTGATTTTATCTCCGTAGTGTATTTATGGAAGATGCTGTGACAACTGCAAAAGGCTCGTTGTGGTCTATTGGGTATTTAATATATAATAAAAGAAAAATCTAAATACATATCCAATGATCAAACAAGACAGTGCCAAAGAAGTCATATGTATGAGTAAATCATAAAAGTACCAAAATATTATTTAAATGTCAGTGTTACCTGCTTTGAACAAGCTGTTCTAAATTCATCAAGTACATTTATGTCATGGATGAAATCCTGGCTGCACTGAAGTCAATGGGAGTTGGGGCCAGGATTTCACCCCATATGTTTAATAATTATTCAAAGACCCCATCTTTCAAACATTTAGGAACACGTGTAAATTTTACGAACATGGCTGCTCATTTTCCTCATTACACGTGCATGTGTGCAGGATTACAGTCTTAAATATATATTTTATTAGTACAAATACAGATTTACACAACAGATCCCAATGGATTGAAAGGAGTATTTTACAGTTCATTATGCCCCAGTACTTCTGTGACTCCTATAATACAGGGGCGGCAAATGTTAATCTCTCCATCTTGGCCAAATTCTGAATTTGGTAATTACACTTTGCCTACAGTATCTTAAATTTCCTATGTCATTTTACTTGGATAAAATTCTTATCTTCCTGCCCTAAATATTTTATCTCCAAAGTGAAGGTGCTATACAAATGTCAGTCATCACTGAGTGATTTTTGTTTTGTTTTGTTTTTGGTTGGGGGGGAATGTAATTAACTGATGTGATTAAAAACCCTGTGATGTCTAGAAGATAAATTTGGGAGTGACAAAAGCTGGCAACGGCACTAAAATTCAGTTAGGGTTGAAGAGTAGCCTTTGCCTACATATTGCATTATACATGTGATAGAAAATCAGCTAACTAGCCACAGTGTAGCAGATTAAGGAGTATTTACCCTCATTGTTATGCTTGTGTTGGGCTTTGTGCTGTATAAAAATTAACAAAACTGTACATGTAAGTAATTCCATCCTAAAGAGCTACGTTGCCTCTGATACATAGGAATCACATCACCCAGCACTAAAATGAAGCACAGGAACGCCCAGTAAAGTCTAAGGGGCAAATGTGGGTCACTTTACTCACCTCAGTAACCCCTCTGACTCCACTGAGATTAACACATACATAAAATGGGTAGGATTTGACTCTAGCACAGAATGCCAAGAATAATACATCCAACCGGAACTGCAGAGAGGCAGAATGCAATTACCAAATTACAAGCTGCAATTACCAAACTTCTATAGAGAAGCAGAATGTAATTACCAAATTTAAATATGGCCAACAGACCGAGATTAACACGCCTTGGAAAGAATGCCATGGGGGTCTTTGACAACAAGGGACCGGGATCTCTGTTTTATGCCTGATGCAGAAGACATCACTTCCAGCAGGATGGTGCCACTTCACACAGTACTCAGGAATAGCACCAGTATAGACTCAGAGTGCCCCCTATGAAATCACTAACATCAATTCCTGCAGCAATCTGCATTTTCCTTTTTGGTCTTCCATGAAGCTACTTGAGACGCCCAATTCTTTACAGCCTAGCATTGAGGTCTGTATATACTTGGTTTTGAGAACACTCAAGCATTAATCAGACAATAATTGAGGTTTTCTTTCATAGTAACGGACTACAGTTATTTTAATTTAAAATAGATCCACTGATAGCTGACCAAGATAACTCCTGGTTTTGTTACACACTCCCAATTCATGACACACAAACAGCAATTTTTATATTATCTAATTAGGATAGATGTGTGTTTCTTATTACATTATAAACTTAGGTATCAGCTTTTCCATATGTCCCCTCTGGTGGTCTGTAGTACTTTGGGAAAGCCATCAGTTGTATCATGTTGAATGCATACTTTCTGCATTTGATATTCTTCAGTACATTCTCTATGCGGCATCCTTCTCTGGTGAAAGGGGAAAAAGTACAACTTCATGAAACACGGAATAAATAAATATGTTTTATTTCTTCATTGCAGAGTTTCAGCAACAGTTGAAGTAAAAATAACAAAAGATTCAACTCTACATTTTTGTTTTTCCACAAGTGATGATACATCTTACAAAATTAAATCCAAGGCCAGCCCCAATACAGTTATTGCCCTCAGAAATAGATGATGAGAATTTTATATTTGCCCTTAAGGTTTAATCAATGTTTAGTAAAAATTTTTAAATAATTTATTTAATGATACAGTTCCATGCTAACTTTAGAAATATATCTGCCTTTTAAATCCTTTCACAATATTCCTTCATACTCTTTACTGTACATGTTAAAGTCCACATGTAGCCCTAAATACGAAGCTTCTAGGAGTAAGGCATTTTATTAAGTCTGGCCCTATAGATTTGTAAAGGAAATTTTCATATCTAGTTTATTTCAATATGTTTAGCTTTGCAATGAAAAAAAAAAAAGAGAAAATGGCTTTCCAAACAGTCTAACCCAACTCTCTTCTTAACAAAGGAAGGATGCTTGTTCACATACAGTACAAAAGTCACAAGTGCCAAAGTGGGGCATCAAGACACAAACAAGACTTTGTTAAAAAGAATATAGAAGTGTCTTGAAAGCAAAAGCAACCAAAGCAACAGTTACAAACAGGTTAATTTAATTACAAAACATAACTCATTCTACCTCCATATAGTTACTTGACAGAAAAGGGTTAGTTGAAGCAATGTAGTAACATAACCTATTTGTTAAACAAAACAGAAGATTCCATCAGCGAATAAACAACAATGAAAGCAGCACAATGAAAATTAATCTGACAAACCGCCCCATCCATTATTCTTGGCTCAGGGTTAGTTTGTATTATGCAAAATCACTTTTGACCTTTTTAACTGATAGACTGAATAGGAGTTTGGAAACGGGGGGGTGGGGTTCAAGCTTTCAGGATCCTGTAATTTGTCTGATATAGAGACACTAATATATATACACATATATATGATCTTTCTTTGAGCTAGTTAAAGAGGGAAAACTTTACCATGAACAAAAAGAGGAAATTAACTCACTTAATGCATAGTATACTTCTTAGATATCAGAAAAAATAAATGAAAACACTATACAGTTTAGACACTTGTATCCTATAGACAAATCCTGTGGGTCTGAAAATGTAGAAATATTACAGCATAATTATTTTATTTTTAAGTTAGTTTGTTGCTGTTTGTAGAAAAGAAAGGAACACAAGTGAAGTTTATTGATATTTGGCTAATAGTAAAGCAAGACTTAAGATAAGCCACACAACCAGCAAGTGTGAGCTGACAAGCAGCAAGGCGACAGGATAGAAGTGACGAGAAGTTGGCTTGTTATCAGTTAGACAGCCTGTCTCAGGATCATCCGACTCATTCAGTGCTCCCTGGGTTTGTCTGCTGTTAAACAGGGGAAGTTAGGAACAAATAGAATAGCATTTAAATAGCAAAGAAAGCCAATATTTAGGTATTCTGACAACAAAGAGACACTAAACATGTCCAGTTGATGTAGCAGATTTATGCTAAATAATTCCAAACATTTTACTCTGTTCTGCACTCAAATGGGAAGCACAGTGAACTAGCTAACTAGCTGTCTATTATTTTTTTAAAAGCTTTATAAGTGTGTTTAAGTGGCATTCACAGGTTAAAGGCTCTTAATAACAAAAATGAAATGAGCTGGACTGTGACTACGACAAACACATGAATTGATATGTAGTGAAATAAATGAATAAATGCATGGCTTAGGAAAGGAAAACAAGAACACTGTGGTGTCTCTGTGGTGCTTACATTTTTTTAGTCCACTCCAGCTTCACTATCTGCTTCTTGTACATGGGATCTTTTTGAAACAATTCAATTTTTTTTGGTGTGTTTTTGGCTCTTTAAAAAATAATTGGAACAAATTTAACCTTTTTTTGAACAAACTCAGCAGCACTGTTAACTCAACCTTATAAGCTAAATAAATGTTTCATTCAAAGGTCAAGGGCATTGTACCTTGTTCAGTCAAATCAACTGTGGGTTAATCTGTACTACAGTGAGGTTCTTCTGAGTCTTTAAAAGTTGTGTTGTCTCTGTATTAGAGCAGTAAGGATACCGTCAAATGACTTTTAAACTTTTCAGTTGTAAACTTGGTAGCTATTCCAGATATCATCTAGGTAAGTGGAATATGCAATATGGACACTTTAGCTAAACCCTTCAACCCCATTAAAGTTATATTTGCATGTGCTCAGGACTCCTGGTAAGGGCTTTCCCTTGGGCAAGGATAACTGGTACAGTTAAAAATGAAATTAGCTCTTTCGCTATCACCAGAGAGTACAATTATTCTACCGCAGTTTCAAGGGAAATGAACGGATGGTCAAGAAAAGCCAGGTGTGTCAGATTGCACTGGAGCATTTTTCTGACACACCTACCACTAATATGTCGTTTATCATGAAAGAAGATACTGAAAAGAAAATACAGGACCATTATGGCACTACCCTGAGTGGGGTGAAAAGACTGCAGCTGTTGTAGTACCCCTTAGAAAAGTACAGCATGCACTGCCTTTTGCAGTTGGCTTGTGCAGAAGGATAGCAGAACCAAGTCCCTATTTCCTTATTGCCTTATTAGAGAGAGACAAGGTGGGTCAGGTAATATCTTAGCTGGTCCAATACAAGATATTACTTCACCCACCTTGTCTCTCTGATACCCTGGGACAACACAGCTACAACTATAATGCATCAAACAATTATTAGCGAGACTAATACTCACAAAGGTGTTAGGCCCAGCACTAAAGGGAGGCAAAGATTGAAATTATGGCTGGGTACCACAAAGGGGCTAGCCAAAATTTGTCACAAAATAATTATGCTTGAAAAATCCAAAGAAATAATTAAATGCTCCATTTCCCCTTCTCTTTCAACTCTTTCCTTTACAGCAATGGGTAAAAAGGATTCCCAAAACTATTCTAAACAGCAAAAGGTAAAGGCCCGAACTCCCGATGACTTTAATGAGAGCAGGACAGGGCCTTTAATGCTATTAATCATTTCAGTATGAAATGCCCTAAATTATCTTCTTCCCTTGGTCTCGTGCTTTCAAGTGCCTATGAGTCTAAATTTATACAGAAACTATTAAGAAATTAAGCTGGCACAGTAAATTATGCTGATTTAGGCTGTGCTGTGACTTAGATTTATTAGAGAATTCTACATCTGTCTAACCTGATGTCAATCTCTTTGTTTTCAGGATGGTAATTTCAATATCTCTCTATTGTGCAGGTCACAATGCATTTTGCTTTGCTTTAACATACTCGACATTCTTTTGGAGCATGCTGCCTTTTAATTTCTCTTCCCTTCGCATAATCTCCATAGGAACCCCACAAATCTTCCTTGGCTCCCTCCTATCTCTGGGTGACTTCATCTGCTGGTGACCTGATGGTTTCAATTACCATCTTCATGCCAGTGAATCACAGACCTACATTCTTACTTCTGACCAATGTCTCTCCATCCAAAAAGAAAAGGAGTACTTGTGGCACCTTAGAGACTAACCAATTTATTTGAGCATAAGTTTTCGTGAGCTACAGATGAAGTGAGCTGTAGCTCACGAAAGCTTATGCTCAAATAAATTGGTTAGTCTCTAAGGTGCCACAAGTACTCCTTTTCTTTTTGTGAATACAGACTAACACGGCTGTTACTCTGAAACGTCTCCATCCAAACTTACATCTCAGCCAGTCTCCTGGATAACTCACCACCATCTTCATAACTGGCTCTACTTTTCAATCTCAGCAGAAAGGCTAAAGACAGAGACTAGATGATGTTTCCCTTGGAAATGGTCCAACCGGAACAGAGCTGAAATACACTGGTGGGTCAGTTTGCACTGCCTGCACTTTAGTTGTTCTATAGTAGAAGAACTTCATTCTCAAGGGCAGCCAAACACCTCCTGCAGTAAAATTACCACATTATTGTAATTTATTTTAAGTGGGTGTGGGTGAAGTGATTTGCATGTTTTAATTCCAGAAATGTGACTCCTTTATTTATTTAGTATATTCTGCTCTGTTTTTTGCTCTGTGTCTCAGTGGTTGTGTTCTGTTCTTTCATCGAGGTCTGTATAGCTCCCATTAGCATGAATAGGATTTATGTGTGTGCATCAACAGGAATATATATAAAAGCCATTTGTTCTGTTGCTTAAAAGATATAATGTCCCCCTGTACATTTGTTCTTTGATATATTGAAAAGCACGATCAGTGGTTAATCTCTTCATATCAGGAGTCACTTCACGCCCCAATATCCACTATGAACTGCTGATGCTCTGGAACTTCTACTCCAAGAATTAGCGGTATCTCATAAATCTGCTCATCAGAAGATACATTTTCAAAGCTGAGGGCAGGAGGATAGTGCCCAAATACAGTATCAGATAAGTTGGCACCATACCAAGAGTATCAAAACACACCTTTAACTTAAAAAAATTTATCACAGGCAGCTATTTTCTCAGACAGATGCTATGGAGGCGATGTCAAGACTACAGCTTATGTTGGCATAACTTACGTTGCTCAGGGCTGTGAATAAACCACCTCCCCATGGGACATAAGCGCTAGTGTGGACAGTGCTCTGTCGGTGGGAGAGCTTCTCCCGCCAACCTAGCTATTGCTTCTCGCAGGGCCTGGAGTAGTTAAGCTGATGGGAGAACTCTCTCCTGTTGGCTTAGAGCAGCTACATAGAGAGCTTACAGCAGTGTGCTCCCACTGTAAGCTCTCTAGGCCATGTCTATATGTACAGCGCTGCAGCTGTGCCGCTGCAGTGTGTCTGGTGAAGGTGCTCTATGCCAGCAGGAGAGAGGTCTCCTGTCGGCGTAAAAGACAAGAACTTTTGTGAACGGCAGAAGCTATGTCAGCGGGAAAAGCTCCCCTGCCAGCCTAGCGCTGTGCACATGAGCACTTATGCAAATGCAGTTTATGTCGCACGGGGAGCAGTGGGATATTCACACTCCT